TATATTCTAGGAAATATGTTCACGCAGATCAACTCACGTAAATTTGCGGGAGTAAAGATTTTGGTTACTCCCTGTGTGTCAGTTTTTCGAGTTGTAATTAAGAAGTTATACCACTGACACCATCTAAAAAAAAGTATTTTATGTATTTCTTCTTTATATATAGGAAGAAATGGTAATAAAATAATAGAGGAGGTAGTTATTAAGCATATATTTAGCAAAATTATTTAAACATGGCGGCCCCGCAGTATTTTTCTCGAAACGCAATTTTTCAAAACGGCAGGGATCATAACTCAAACAATTGTAATTCTTTTCATTCAAATTTTACACATCAAAATAACACATTTGGAAGACAAATGCCGAGATTTTCGATATCTATCTCTACCCTTATTCATCTAAAACTGAAAGTTTTAAGTCAAATACTCGCCAGCCACACAAAAATCAAGATTTTTTAAAATCCTCTACGAATTTATTTTGTTATTTAGTTATAAACATGCTGTATTTTTTTTCATTTTCTAAATGAAATGAATGTGGCTGCAGTACCCTCTTTTTGAACATTTTTTTCATACTTTTTTTATGCTTAATATCTCCCTACAATATTTTTTTCCTTTCTTCCACAACATTTGACAATAAATCACTTTTTATGCCATTATAGTGGTATTAGCCCTGAAGATAATACGATGAAACAGGTAATGCCCTTTAATACAATACTCCAGAAACAGACAACTGTAAAAGCACATGTATAATGTTTTATTGTAATCTACATTCACAATCGAATCTCAACTTCTTAAGTACAGTAATACCCCGGACTTACGCGATAGGTGGGTCCGAACGGTTGCCGTGTAAGTCGAATTCGCGTAAGTCGGGGTTCAATGTTGCATATAAATACATATAAAGTTTGTTTAATCGGGACCAGAGTTTAAAGAAAACAATAATTTAGAAGAAAAATGTTTAATAAAGTGTAGGATAATAAAAAAAATTACATTGTTATGAATAAAGTAAGCTAAACCGAAGTTATTTTGATGTCGAAGGCTTTATATATTCTAACAATGTTGCCTGACGAGTTAAATTTTTCTTCTTTTCACGTAAAATTTCCTCGTAGCATACCAGTAATTTTTTTATCCCTCGTTTTGTAGTAGACACGCGTTCTTCATTAGAATCAATTTTTTCTAAAATTTGTAACCCCTTTTCAATTGAATTGAGTCCTTCTGTTAAGTTTGCAATTGTCATTTGATTTACCGATTCAACTGGGTCTAGCGAATCAGTTTGTTCAATGTCTTGCTCATACTTACGCATTTCTATAACCTCGTCAATTGTTAGCTCTTGATTGTGTGAATCTAGCAATTCTTGAACGTCATCATTATCGACCTCTAAATTTAATTGCTTGGCGATATCGACCACTTCTTCTATTATGCTATCGATTTGTTCAGGATCTGAAATGGTTTCTCCTTGAGTTTCAGAGGTGAAAAAAAATGGACACAGTTTTTTCCAGACACCATTGAGAGTTTTTTGTGAAACCTCATTCCAAGATTGTCCAATAATTCTTACAGCATCTAAAACATTGAATTGCTTCCAAAAGTCTTTAACAGAAAGCTCATTGTTTTGTCTCATAGCTTCATGTAGATGTGCAAATGACCGCCTTGTGTAGTAAGCTTTAAATGTTTTAATGACTCCCTGGTCCATTGGTTGAAGCAAGCTGGTAGTGTTTGGTGGCAAAAATACAACTTCCACACGTGGATCGAAATTAATTAGAGTTGCGGGAGGATGACCTGGTGCATTGTCAATTAGTAGCATCACTTTAAATGGGATTTCTTTTAATCGGCAGTAACGTTCGACTTCAGGAATAAAATGATGGCCAAACCAGTCTTCAAAAAGAGAAGCTGTCACCCAAGCTTTCGCATTAGACTTCCAAATGACAGGCAAACCAGCTTTGGATTTATTTTTTAAGGCCCTTGGATTTTCTGAGCGATAAACTAAGAGAGGTTTTAATTTACAATCTCCAGCTGCATTCGCACCAACCATCACTGTTAATCGATCCTTGGCGGCTTTAAAACCTGGAAAAGTTTTCTCTTCACGCGCAATAAAAGTTCTTTTAGGCATTTTCTTCCAAAAAAGACCTGTTTCATCTACGTTGAAAATAGTTTGGCTAGTGTAGCCACCTTCATCTATCATTGTTTTGAGTTTTTCTGGATAGAGAGATGCAGCTTCTTTATCAGCGCTTGCCGCTTCTCCACTCTCTGCGATGCTATGCCAATTACAACGACTCTTAAATCGGCTGAACCAGCCGTTACTAGCTTTAAACACTTCATTTTCAGCCGCCTCCCCAGCTTCTTCTTTTAGTTTTTCAAAAATCTGCTTTGCTTGAAAGCACACTGTATTTTGATCAACAGGACAATTTTTCACTCTTACTTGATTATCACACCATGACTGTAGCAATGTTTCCATCTGTGCGATAATACCGTGACGCTTACGGATGATACTTGAATTCAAAGATTGAGAGTCTTTCACAGCGTTCATAATTTTTTCTTTACCTTTTACAACCGTTCGGACTGTTGATTCCGGAAGGTCAAATTTCTTCGCCAATTCACAAATTTTCATTTTTGCTTCAAAGTCTTTAATTATATTCAGTTTACACTCCAAAGACAGTGTTTTTCTTTTCTTGTTAGGCTCAAATGACTCATTTTTTGTTCTTTTAGACGACATAATTAGAGATTATAAGTAAAACGCACTGCGCACGTAAAACAATTGCACGCGAAACACGTTTAAACCTGATGCAAATTGAACACTGAGTGGGCGGAGCGAGAGAGCCGATGCGCGCGCGGAGCGAGAGAGCCGATGCGCGCTGCGCGCGGCAATCAAAATGAAAAACCGCGTATCTCCGAATTCGCGTAAAACGGGGTAGCGTAAGTCGGGGTATTACTGTACATGAACAGGTGCTAAAATATTTAGCACGTTTCCAAAAACGTTTGTTGAAATTAATTTGTATCTTGGCAAATGCGATTTTATGCACACGTGCGTTTATTTTTGTTAAATACAATATGGATGCAAACATGGTTCATAAAAGCATTTAAACTCGACGGGTGGCAAACGACAATGTTCGACATTTTTACACCTGAATTATATTTTTTAGGGTACCTATATATGAAAAGGCTCATCGAGAGATGCAAAAAAATGCTAGGTAACATTTTTTGTAAACGTCAAAGTTGAAAAAAATCACTCCTGCGCGTATACGAGTGATGTCAAGTCAAGTTTTGTAGGTAGTTTTAAATGACTTTATTGTTTTTCGAAGTATTCTCCACGAAGATTAATACCCATCTGCATGCGCTCGAACCAATTTTCGAAGCACTTATTCCACTCGTTTGCTGGCAGATCCAAAACGGCATTTTTGAATGAGTCAACTGCTTCTTCTGGTGACTGGAACCTTTGACCACGCAGTCTGTTTTTAATTTTCGGGAAAGTAAAGAAATCGTTAGGACTTAGATCGGGTCTATATGGAGGATGGTCCAATAATTCCACGTTTTCTTCCGTTAAAAACTGCCTTGTTTTTTGGGCTGTGTGCGAGCTTGCATTGGAGCATGATTCTTCCTTCGGGGTTGAGTTTTCGAAGCTCGGTGATGACTTTTGGCAAACAAATGGTGGTATACCAATCCGCAGTAACAGTTATTTGCTTATTAAGAGGAATTATTGCAATATGAGCCGCTTTTGACACAAATGTCGCGACCATCTTTTTCGGAACACTTCAAGAACGAATGACTTTTGTTGGCTTTTCTTCACCTTGGAACATCCAAACAGCCGACTGTCGTTTATTTTCTGGTTCATAACAGTAAATCCATGATTCATCACCACTAACAATGCTGTACACATTTTTTGAGTTTCCGGAATTGAAACGGTCAAGCGTTTTTTGACGAATTAACCCTGGCTGCTTTCTGCTCTTCAGTCAACAGATGGGGTATCTAACGAGAAACTAATTTTCTTACTCCTAATTCTTCATGTAAAATTTTTTGAACTGAGGTCTTTGAGATCTTCAAGGACGCCTCAAATTCGCGATATGTCCCATGTCTATCTTCAATGATGAGTTTCCGCACAGCATCGACGTTTTCCTGGGTGACCATTTTTGGTGCACCCACCCTAGGATCGTCGCTAAAACTCACAACGGGAAATTGTCGACTGTTGAAAGTTGTAATAAATTATGGCGCGAAAATGTTCTCGGTTGAGTTCCATTTTTCTAATGACTTGGTGACACTTAAAAATTCACTGTAGTGAGAACACTGCACGTATTGTTGTGAAACTTTGAATTTAAGTTTACTAAAGAGTGAGGTTAAGATTCAGTACTGACGTTCGATCAGCGCGGCCTACTATGTTTCTATAAGCAAAACTTAAAAGACATCCCTCGTATTCAATTAGTTATGAATTATTGGTGTACCTGTATGTGGTCAAAAAAAAGTTGTAGAAGCAGAAAATATCTTCAAAATGAGACCTTGCACGGAAAATTTGCTGTATTTTTGGGCCTGTGATATTGATTTAAATTTAATTTGTAGGTGACTTGAAATGTATCACAGAGTACCAGCGTGTCAAATATCAGATTATATTAACGCCAACTTGGGTCCTATGCGGTTGGTAGGATTTCCGTTGCTGTCAACTGTTAGACATTTAATGATATCGATTTACTTACTTCTACTGTTGTTGGTGGTTACATTCAATATGAAAGGATCTCAAAAAATGATTTTGCCCAAATGCATGTAGGCAATGATTAATTGTTGATTTTGAAATTTGACGTATAACATTCGTGACGTTAGGCTAATGGAGTGTAACCATCTCTGGCAGAAATAGCTCCAGGCGCCCATAGAATCAGGTAGGGAATGCGCCAAACAGTTGGGGACAAGAAGATTAAAGACACTGGCACGAGCTTTCACATCTGTATAATCTGTGATACTGTGGATCCTAGAGTTGGCATATTTTTCTCAAATACTTATCACGAAAATGACACTAAAACACCAAATCACCTCTTGATCTGAGTGCTGATCCAGCCAAGGCATCCGTCTTCCTCCTCAATGGACCCTCCACGGCGAAGTCTTCCTGAGGAGGCGGATCTCCTCCTTGGAGGTTCCGGTATTCGTATGATCGTATACACCACCACGCACTGCAATTCCATTCTCTGCAGCACCTTTCACACTCCTCGAAGATGCTTGCCACCGTGCCACGCATAACGACCGATCACAATCACCGATAGCTCATCACAAAGGGTCACAACCACGTGAGCACCCCGGTCGTCCGTTTTGAGTTTGATACTATTGTGAGTAATGGTTCATTTGCTATATATTCAAAGTCGAAGTCTTGAGGTAATCGAGAATGATCACAACCACCGATAGCTCATCACAAAGGATTCACAACCGCGCGAGCACACTATTTCGTTCGTTTTTCAGTTGTATACTAGTGTGGGAAATGATTCGATCGCTATATATTTTCAAGTCTTTGAGGTTTCAAAATATCTGGTAGATTTTATTATCACTCCTGATTGAAGTGTTTCAAGAGTCGTACAGTTGGTATACGTTCCAAGCTCTGTAAGTTTAAAATGATAATGATCAATTACAGAGCATGCCTCGATCCGTGGAGTATCTTATCTAGAAGACTAACAAATCGAACGCCTGATCGGTAAAAAGGCATCCTGAAGTGTGTGCAAGAAAATCTACTAATACTGCTTTTGTCTGTCCGACCAACAGAGGGCCAACCCTGTATAGATGTTTGATGCTTATTGGCAACCATCAGCATGGTCTAGGCTTGAATCTCGATAACGAATGAAAGCATAGCAAAGTATATTCTATCTATCGACATGTACAGTCGTATTTCGATAGACCTTATAAATCAGACAGAGGATACTTTGCTCTGCTTTCGTTTGTTATTCTTAGGGGATGTCAGTAATATACAATGACGGTTTCATTGTATAACGTTAAGTTATGGTCTATTCATTCTATAGATGATTTATACGTGTTCCCTCGCCAGAGTCGGTGTGGCGTTCCCCCTTTCCCCTGTATCCCCCTATAGCCCCACGGTACCCAATGGGTGTTTAGGCCTTAGGCCTTCGGGCTAGCTGGAGTATAAAAAAATCTAAATTTAAAATAGTATCCAGGTGATTAACAGAATTAGGAGAACAGAGCGAGAGATACCGATACGGCCACGGAGCCTGCTGGAGGCATAAGCCATGCAACCGGCACGAGAGAGAGAGAGAGAGAGAGAGAGAGAGATCAGATTCGCCTAGAAGTTGTCTGCAGGCACCTGAAGGGAGAGCATTCGGGCCTGTTAAAGGAAAGCGCAGCACGAAGAACTCGGCTAATGGAACGAAACAAAACTATATATTGGGGAGCTTCGAAATTCAAAACTTGAGGAATATGTCATAAAAACAGTTAGAAAATAAGAACAGGGAAAGAGGCCGATAGGCTAAACCCTAGTCTGCGTCGCCTTCGGACGTGAAGTAAAAGATGTTTGTCGAGTATGGGGTGGATCCATTCCCACAGTCCCGCACCGAATCTATCGATAATGTTTTTTATTCGATCGTCCTTATACCAATACTGCTCACAACTCATTAACCATTATTTTAATTGCCCATCGCATATAGAGTAGGCTGAAAAGATTGGTATAGATCAAACGAGATTATATTTTGTGTAATACATTTTTACACAATACATATTTTATAATACATGTGTGTATGGATAAACCAGTCATCTTTATATTTTGTATTTTTTTAAAGCGCCAAAGTGTATGGCTAGTTTTAATAAGCAAGTAGGTCTAGTTTGTCTTGCTTTTGGTTGGTAATGGTGTCGAGGATGATTTTATATTTCAAATAAATGTAACTGAATTAAATATCTTCCAGCGAATACTTTTGTTAATCTATTTTATGATGCTTTTGGAAATATTGCAAACTGTGAAGTTGAATTGGATTCAAAATTTTAAGGCGAACATAGTAACAGAATATATAGGTACCTATCAATAGACTTGACGCCATTTTTTAAATGTCATGTATTTGCTTATTATAATGTTGAATGTTATTTTACAGAATGAAAACTTGGAAACTGTTTGGTTTAATTACTAATTCCTATAATGAATACATATTTTTCAAGTTAGCATAATTAACAACACCCTGTATACCTATGTTTATAAATCTAATGCAACTCGAGGATAACAGAGGGACAAGTGTCACGTGTTTCGTTTGTTATGTTTTAGTGTTCGGCGAAATTGTCAGATGGCGCTGTTACCGGTGGTACCAGGAATCATAGAAGAGATTTATTATCGGTAGTGTGGCATTCATTCTGTGGTAATCTTACATAGAGACCAATCTTGGACCGAGTTGATGATTGCTAATAAGGATGAAACAGCTGTGCACGGTTGGCATTCTGTTGGCAGAACGAGGCAGTATTATTAGTTTTACAATGACGAGTATACCATCAGAAACGACGGCTGTTCACTTTCGCAGTGGTGGATTGTGGTAATAAATGGCACTCGGTACTGTCGTGTTTCGATGTGTGAAAGAAATCTAAAAGTTCTGCATTTTTCGTAGACCAAGGCATGTTGCTCATTCCATAGATAGGTCTTCGTCAATAAAACGGAATCGATCAATTGGTATAAGTTGAAAGTATCGGATAGTTGGAGATGATCCAATGATCACCAAAAAGGACCTTATCGCAGACCACGAAACTCGAATGTGTCTAAAAGCAGTTACACAAAAAAATGAATGATTCGTATTTTCCTGGTTTGGGAGTCGATGATTCGAGGCAGCCAGACAAACTGACGTTTCAGAGCCTCCTGATCGATTTCAGAAAAAAAAATTGTAGGAGTTAAATAATGGGTGTTGCTAGGGGTTGTAGGGGGTGGGGGAGAGTCGCAATTTATTGTCGACAGTATATTCATACATTTCCGATCCCGCTAAGTCTACGCCCCTATTAGTATTATCATTCTCAAAACGTTACACAAGCCAGCTTGGACCAATCAAAATGAACGTCGAAATGCTGAATAGCGGAAAATACACATCAAAGTTCCAAACTGAGGTCAGCAACAACGGGAGAGAACACCTTCGGGATTCGTTTTAGCGTTTAAAATAGCACTGCGGTGATCGATAATTTCTAAACGGGGAATTTGAATTCTGGATGAATCAAATAAATCTAAAATCTAGTTATATGCGTACACAAGATTTTGATAATCATAGTGAAACTGCAAGTGTAAACTAATGTCCATTACCAGGAATCAGTATATCATACTATATGATTATATACTGCACAATCACAAACACGACAGAATACAGGCATTACTATTGCTTCAGATCTGTCATTTTTGACACACTTAAATCAAACAGTTAAATCAGCTTCACGTATCCCTGGATTTATTACTAGAAATTGCAGATCTTTTACTAAAACGGTGTTATTAAAAGTATGTATTTCACTTTAGTTGGGAGTTTATTTGAATATGGTTGTATCATTTGGTCTCCTTTATATTGTAAATGTACAAAATGTACATATATCTACAGTCAAGAATATCCAAGCGAAAATTTTAAAATAGCGGTATTTGAAAGCACATTATGTTACATTCAACTATCCAAAGATCACTTTGATACGATCAGTTTTAATCACCGAAGATTTTTGTTAAGCTGCTGCTTTGTGCACAAGTTGCTAAGCAATCAGATTAACTGTGATAAAATTTTGTCCAACTTAAACTTTACTGTACCTAGGTTAAATAGTAGGAACTATATTTTATCTACCAAAAGCTTCAACAGAAATTATGCTAGCATCCTCTTCATATAGAAAAACGAAATGCTTTAACGAGGTTAGCTCTTTGACTTTGGTATGAGTGAACATATACAGTAATGGACAATATAGACAAATATGAATATTTACCTAAATACATTTATAAAACGAATTCATACTTCATTGCTCCATAAACAAATGCGTTATTAGTAGAAAAACTAAATTCCTTGTTTTTAATTATCTGCAATGAACACAATATAAGTCTGAATATAAGCACTTTTTTATGAGGGACAAAAATATGTAGACAAATTCTTTTCAATACTAGTTTAGTACAGTTTCGTGTCAGAAGAGGATTAGATCGTGTTCATCAAGTATTGTGGAATGAGTTGAGTGATTTTAAGACCATGCCGCGTGGTCCAGAAATTTCTTTCGATGTGAAAACAAGATCATTGAGTTATACAAAGATGGTCTCCGTCAAGTCGAAATTGCCAGAAATTTGAAGCTGAAGCGTAAAGCAGTTTGGGCAATATTGAACAAATATAAACAAAAAGCTATCTTGGAAGCCTCTAAGAGAAGTGGTCGGCCTAGAAAACTAAATGCTAGATCAGTTAGATTAATAAAAGTAATTTCGTCCAAAGATCCGTTTAAAACCCCAAGACAAATAAAAACCGAAATCGAGACAAAAGGAATAGTCAGTGTTTCTACGAAAACTATAAGTAGAAGATTAAATGATTTGAAGTTATTTGCACGTCGCCCGAGTAAGAAGCCGCTAATCTCGAGGAACAACCGTAAGGACCGATTACAATTTGCACGGTTGCATCTTGATTGAAGCATCTCTGACTGAAGGAGGGTATGTTTCAGTGACGAATCCAAGTTCAATATGTTTGGATCAGATGGTGTTCATTACCTTAGACGTCCTAGTGGACAAAGATTGAACCCCAAGTACACTTTGCCCACTGTCAAACATGGAGACGGATCTATTATGGTTTGGGGGTGCTTTTCGGGGTTTCGGGTGGGACCTTTACATAGAATAGATGACATTATGGATAAGTTTGTATACACAGACATACTAAAGCATGTCATGTTACCCTATATGGAAGACAATATCCCCTTAAGATCAATCTTCCAGCAAGACAATGACCCGAAGCACACTTCAAATCTCGCAAATAAATTCTTTCTGGATGAAAAAATACCAGTTCTCAAATGGCCTTCAAAGTCTCCCGATATAAACCCCATTGAAAATCTATGGGAATACTTAGATAAGCAAATTATGAGATAAAAATTATTCAAACAAGGATGAACTTTTTGCCGCTTTAGAGCAAAAGTGGAGACAGATTGATGAATCTTATGTCAAGAAACTTCCACAATCTATGCCGAGACGATGCCAGGCGGTGTTTTTCTATAATTCAATGAACTTTGCTTCTTTTTTCTATAATTGTTTCGCTTTGTCTATATATTTTTGTCCTTCATAGTTTCAGTTTTTTTCAATTAATTTTTTATGGAAGGGAGTCTAATGAATTTATTTATGTATAAGTGAGTATTATGATATAACGAATTATGTATACAGGTTGGTGAATTAATAAAACAAGTTAAAAAAGAAATACAGCACAATATTAATTTGTCTATATACTTTTGTCCATTACTGTATATAAAAGAAGAATAATCCCATATATAAAAACAGTTCAGTAACGCAAACCTTTGTTAGCTTTTCAGTACCTTTTAGAAAGTATCTTTATGTATTTTAGGAGTAGAATTAACGTTCAGGAATATATTAATTTGCCTGTGTTACTAGACGGCACATTGATGGGGCTTTGTGATGGATTTCTGATTACAAACATTCGTTTTTTTTTAGTATCACCAATCAATAAAACTATTTTTTGTATGTGTCTATTTATTTTTATCACCTGTATAGTGTGTCTCTGTAATTGGATCTTGTGTCTGTTGAGAAATATCCGAATAAAATAAAGTAATTAAAATAAGTTAGAAGTTACATTATTTGTATTATGATTCATCATCCATCACAGTAGAGTTTCAAAAAATCATAAAGCGTGTTTCAAATTATTTGGATCTGACAAACACTAAATCCTGTTATTATCTTCAATCGACTGAACAGATTTCCTTATATCACATAAAACAAAAGTTAGTTCTTATCCCAGTAGTTTGGAGATGTTTATCGCAACATTTGATGACTCAAGTCCTGTTCGTACAGCAGTCGCCAACATGCGAGTGACGGTTTCCAAGATCCCGCCACACAAATTCCGTTCACTCCGCTACGCTATATAGACGGAATTCACACGGCCCGATCCCAGACACAGTCACCGACCACTGTACGAGCAAACCTTAAGGCTAGAAATACGCTTGTATCTAAGTACACTTTCGATTAAGGCACAAAATCAACGACTTCATAAGGTTAGACTACGCGTTCTAGGGGAATTGTTTGAAGCCGCGAAAAATAAACAAACAAGCCCTCACTGTATGTATACATATCTGCTATTGATAGTTAGGTAATTTTAGATACCTGATTTGAGGCTATTTTAGTTTGGGATTGCCTCTGTATGATGCAAAACACTTTATAATGGAATTTGATCACTCTCAATCATAATATTCCCGTATGTAATAGCTGTCCATACATAATTAATGCGTATTTCTCTGACTGTATCTCGTTTCAGTATCGCATCGATTTTTTTTGCTTAAACTGACTGGACTATGAAGCGTCTGACTCTATCAGCCCCATGTTTATTTGTTGACTGTGAACTCTTTGTTCCGTTGTGTTAAAGCAGCTAATATACAGTGAGTCGTGAGTGAAAAATTGGTAGAAATAAACAATAATTAAAGACAAGTGTGTGTAGTTTGTGGCAGACCATACTGGAAGTAATCCAACGTGAGTTTTCGTGTGTAAGTAATTAACGCATTTATAACCTCAAAATGCATGGTCGTCCCAACGACATCATATGAAGTCGTTGGGTTGTCCTTAGTCCTAGGTTTCTTAATAGCTTGATAAGAATAATTTCACTTGGAATATTTTGAATAATGATAATGGCTTAACGCATGGTTATGTATTTCTAGTTTTCCAACTCGTTCGTCGTGCTGCCAGTTACTGAAATGGATTTGGTTGGCTCAGATCATTGTGAGGATCAGAACCCGGATGTCGATATCAGTACAAGTAGCAATAGGATGTCTGAACCTGCAGAGATCATCATTGAATATGAGCACACCTTCACAAGTACCGATGCCAAAATTGGACATTCTACTCCTAAGCGGAAAAGGTTATGAATTGTTTATACATTAGAGTACCTATGTTTTGGAAAATCATTTTCAGATGGCAGGAACTGAATCTTCGTTTCTTCAGTTTTTAGCTAACACTCATTTGTAGTGCTTGGTTCACTAACAGTAATTTGTTTTTTTCTTGCAGGAATGAATCTATGAGTGCTGCAGTTAGAGATGGAGGGCTGAAGAGACTGACAAGTCCTCAATCAGACAACTGTGATGTCTTGTCAATATCTTCAACTACAGTGACAGCATCTGAATGCAATATAAGGTATTGCTGTTATTCATTCAAGTTCTGATGCACATTAAAGACCTTATATGTTGAATTCCAGCTACTTTGATAGTTCCCAGGTCATTGAATGAATGACAAAATTGTATTGTTAATAGTTTTGTTTCCATTTTACTGCTTTGTTGACCAAACAACACTATTCATGAGAAGTTAAAGCTTTATTTTATTCTTAACGAATTCCAGCTATACTGTTGTACTTAATTGAATTGATTATTTTGGCAACAAAATCCAATTCTTGGTCAATAACATGTTGTTTGCTTTCTACTGTCCCTAGTGACTAAATAATACTATTCATCAGTCGAATGGATTAGTTTACTGCAACTGTATACATTCATTTTGACATATATTTTTGTTTATAGTAACAACTCTGACACTGTTTTGGCAAGAAATGATAGTTCAATTACTCTGTCGGCCAGCTCATTGTCAGCAACAGTTACTGCAAGCTCTGATGATGAACCTAGAGAACTACCAAGCATCTCGGGGAAAATGACTAGGCATAGGCAAATAATGCAGCAAAGGTGAGTTCAAGTTTTCAAAATTGATAATGATGAGCACACAAAGTAATATCTATTATTTCAGATCCAAAATGCATAAGCATGTATGGAACATTTCTGGCAAAACTGTAGGTAGCGCAGAAAAAACAATAGCGTCTCTGAAAAAGAAAATTAAAAATCTTCAGCAGCAAAATCGCAGACTGAAGTCTAAAGTATATTCCCAGCAATCATTAATGGAGTATTTGAGGGAGACATGTGGTTTGACGCCAAATGCAGGACTTGTTTTGAATGTAGGTATCAGTTGCATGCTGCTACACACTTCAATTAGCCTAGAACTTATTGTTTCCATTTTAGTTTAACATGTTTACAATACTGAAAAAGATTTATGTTTTTTTTTTGGTTTTATGCAAAGTTTCAATAATATTCTACTTTGTAACATGATTATTCCATGAATATATATTTGTTTTCAGGCATCAGTGGATGATGGCACAAAGGAAATTCTGAAACGATTTATCAAGGGGAAGTCAAAACAAAAATATAATGCTTCTCTCAGAGCTTTTGCATTAACTTTGCATTTTTATAGCTCAAAAGCTTACGATTTTGTGAGAGAGCAATTCAATAAAAGTCTACCACACCCCCATACTCTAATAAAATGGTACCAACGGATAAATGGTGCACCTGGCTTCAGCATGGAGGCAAAAAACAACTTACTGTGTAAAGTACAAACGGAACAGAAGCATGGCCGTAAAGTTTTGTGCAATCTGGTCATGGATTCAATGGCAATTAGGCGGCGAATAGAATGGAATGGCCAAAAGTGGACAGGATACATTGACTTGGGTTTTGATATGGATGGAGATAAACTTCCTGAGGTTAAAGAAGCATTGGTTATGATGCTAGTGGCTATAAATAGCAAATGGAAGCTACCTGTAGGATACTTCTTCATCAATGGTCTAAGTGGAGAGGAACAGGCAAACTTATCATCAAATCTTCTTACTTTTATTCACGATACAGGTGTTATCATTTGTTCAGTAACATTTGATGGGGCCTCTCAAAATATTTCGATGATAAAACACTTGGGAGCTGATCTGAAAATTGGAAACTTAAAAACCTGGTTCCCACATCCAGTTGATTCGCACAGGGTGTACGTTTATCTCGATCCATGTCACATGCTAAAATTAATCAGGAACTGCTTAGCAACTTATAAAAATTTCAAGACAGATCAAAATGAGTTAGTTTCTTGGGAATACTTTGAAAAGTTGGTAAACATTCAAAACAATGAAGGCTTAAGAGCTGCTACCAAAATTAAAGAAAGACATGTGAAATGGGAAAATGAAAAAATGAAGGTATGCCTAGCAGCACAAACATTCAGTAAAAGTGTTGCTGATGCACTGAGGTTTCTGGAAACAGATTTAGGTTTGAAAGAATTTGAAGGTGCTTCAGCAACTGCCAACTTTGCTGAAATGATAAATAATATTTTTGACATTTTTAATAGTAATTCGAGATACTCAAAATACGAATTCAAACAAGGCTTAGATGTCAATAATGCTCAGCAGATATTTGTATATTTGGAACAGTGCAAGACATACTTTGAAGGTCTTAAGACAGAAACAACCCCAGTACTTCAATGCAGAAGGAAAACGGGTTTCCTGGGATTTTTGATTTGTATGGCTAGTTTACAGCAATTTTATCTAGAATATGTCATTGAATTCAAATACTTGAATTACATATTGACATACAAGCTGTCCCAAGACCATATTGAGCTATTTTTTAGCGCAGTGCGTAGTAAGGGAGGATGTAATAATAATCCAACTGCTCGACAATTTGAAAGTATTTTCAAGAGATTACTTTTGCATTGTGACATTAAGGGCTCCAAGTATGGAAATGTTGTTTCACTGGACAACACTAGTATTCTAGGCACTACATATATCAACACTTTGACTAAAACTAATTGTGGCAACATTCTTTCAGAGAATGATGATTATATGGAGAATACTACAGAAGTTTTAATATTTGGTAGTTGTTCATTACATCTGTGGCAGCTAACTCCGTATGTCTGTGATATTGTCGCATACATATCTGGCTTTGTGGTGAAAAATTTGAAAAAGTGTGTATCTTGTCATGAATGCCTGCTGCTAATGGAATCCAGTGAAACACGTTCTTTGTTGCAAAAAAGGAAGCAATATGGCAACTTAACACGAGCTTCTAATTATGTTATAAAAGTCTGTGAAGAAGGGGAGAGGTCTGTAAGGTCCTTGAAAGCCATTTCCAGCATATTTAGCAATAAACTTGGAAACATCGAAAAATACTTAGTAAGCTATACACTAAGGAAGTTAAATACATCAATATTTGAAGTATTTGGTGACCATGTTCTAGATGATAGCTTCGAAAACAATCATTCACTGCAGCTGACAAAGATGATTTTGGCTAAATACATAAGGCTAAGGTTACACCACGAGTCAAATTTAGCATCAGAATTTGGTAGACGATACAGAAGTGACCTCACAAAAAGCATACTATTCAGAAATCAGTAAAACTTTGATATGATTTTTCTCTACATTTTGTTATTTTCATCTCTGACCTTTCAACCTGTTAGAACGCCTCAGCTGAGTTTACGTGATTCAGATCATTCGAGATGATCAAAATAAATTAAAGAAGTCAATGATTTGTGTTTCTTGTGAGATGAATGGGACTTGAAGCCAACTTTTCTCCCATTCTTTTTTTTTGGGGGGGGGGGCACCATCACCGATACCTTTTTTCTATGGGACATCATCATCATAAAACCTTCCACTTTGAGAGGCACCAACATTACTTTTTGGTGAGGGGAACCAACATCGCCTTTTTGAGTGCTATGATCATTACACCAACATTGCACTTGTACATGGGGCACAGTCATCACATCATTTCACCACCAGCGCATGGGACCATCCCTGTTTTAAACTCAGATTTGTCCACTCTTTGCGAGAGTAGATCAAAAGATAAATCATTCTTTTCATGTGATTCTTACCTCAATTTTTGCTTATTGTTTGGGGTTTTTTTCTAATATTGTTTGAATTTTACAACCTTGTTTTATTTGTCCTCATGCTGCTATCGTTCTTTACAATTACAACATCAACTCTACCCTGATCTCTCATATCCTACTACTGAGCAACCAAGAGCTATAAGTATGAGCTTACATATGGCATGCTGCCTCATCTTTTTCTTGGGGTATGTGTGAGGTTATAATGTGACTGCGTTCAAGAGTAAATTTTGTCTTTTTATTCTTTTGAAATTTTGTACGCGCCTCTTATACTGTTTAATATAGATTTAATATGTTTGGATAAAGTAGCTACATAGGGGTAAATTATTTATTGTATTGTGTATATCATATTTCTATTAAAGACGTTTTATTATTATTATAATAACCGAATTAAAATATTTCAAACATTTGTTGTTTAATTATCCCATTACCTGTATCCACTGTTACTGTTTTATAAAAATTATAATAAACCTACAGAAACCCAAATCCTCTTAAATACACTGCATCAGAATATGTTCTTTTGGGACTAGCTTGAGATGCTACCAAATATAACTGAATGTACCCAATAATTTAGAGTGACTGCACACTGCCAACTTTTTAGTTTCGGTGGAAACATTGCATTCCTTGCAAGGGAACATTTTATTTTATGGCATGCTGGCTCTAAACTTTGGATATTGTTCATGAACATTGTCTATTTAAACAACTCGTTCTTAGTTGTGAACTCGTTCAAGTCAATATCGGGATAATGATTACATATTGTACAACTTGCAAATTTTTCTCGCTTGAAATCGTGAAAATCCGAAACACGGATATTTTGGGTACATTGAAGTGCAATGAGATTCTGTATGAATGAATTGGTAACCTACTTAAACAAAATATTGATACGCCTATGGAAAATGAATGTCAATCGTCGAACGTTTGTTTACAAAACAGTCTTCACCTGTCCCCTTGCACCCCTGAAGCGGTTACAAACAATGACACGTATACATGCGTAGTCTAACCTTATGAAGTCGTTGCACAAAATCAACAAAAATCGCTTCTATCAGTTAGGAACAATGCTGTTCAAACAAGGTCCAAGACTCACAAATGATATTGAGTTTTTGATAATGAAGTCAGACGAATCATGAAGTAGTTCCTTTGAGGTAACTTCAAACATGTATACCAAAAAGATTAAATGGGTCAAGCCAGCCAAACAGGCCACATACAATTAGTCCCCATCAATTGGGTAACGCTAACGCTTCTTTCCTGCCCTAAGGATCGACCATTTATGCGTCCTTGGCATAGTAGTATCCTTATGTGAGAATTTCATCGGAAGTCCGAGCGGTACTTTCCAATTACATCTCATTTTCAAAATATTTCGCGAGTGGCGTAGGAAGTAAGATATATTTTGCCTATTACCATACTAAATACCTTTATTCTTACCATCTTATATGTAACTTTCTAATACAGACTGCAAAACTAATTCACGCAACCTCGTCTAAGAAGTTTCCGTCTGCATCCAAGAATAAAAATGAATGAAAAATCGATTTCCCTAAAAATAACCAGATATCATCATACCCGACAGTTTTTCGCGTTGTACCATACTAGATTCCAGCCAGATAATATGCTAATCATATACTACATATTTTTATGTTGAAAATGGATAGTAAAACGGATTGCGAGTTTCTCGTCGCCTAATTTTGCCGTATTTCACCCTCGTAATGACATTTTTCGCCGTTTCTACTTTAGTTGTGCATTTTTATAGAGCTTCTAGCGCTGTTACTACATTATTCTGTCTCACGGTAACTAAATTGGTTATACGCGATAGCTTCTCGTTTTAGTGCGACACACAGCGGTAATAAATTATTTGAGACACGCTGTTCTCATGAATATGGGAATAAGAGAACATCCAAAATTAGCGAACTAAGATAAATATGAAAATTTGTACTTACTCGTATAGTAGTATACGTGATATTATAACGGGTGTTTCAAATTTTAAGCTCGAAAACGATAAGAGATACGAAGTCGCCTAAATGGGGCAAAGCTTCGTATTTAGTTAACTAACAAAATGCCGCTTAGGAGGTTTCGAAATTCAAAATACTTTCCTAGATAGACGGAAAAATCCGACTGTTCCCAAAATCGTTATAATTTTCTGCTGACTTAATTTGTTGTGGGATTTCAAAACAATACAATATACTAAAGTTCTAGTTATGCCATCTTGTACAGGAGAAAAGTGGCCATGTTAATGTGCAATTTATTTTGATACTCCACTACAAATAAAGTCAGGAAAATACTCGTATTAAAATGATTTTGGGAAAATTATATTTTTTCTGAAGTAGTTTTGAATTTCTAAACATTCTAAGCGGCATTTTGTTAGTTACCTAAATACGCAAGAGATTTCGTATAACTATTCATCTGTGCAAAAATCCAATATGACGTCCATAAGAAAAAATAAAGTTGATGCTAGAGGACAAGAGATAAAACGTCATATTGAACTTCTAGTTATGCCATCTTGTGGAGGAGAAAAAGTGGCAATGTTGAGATCCCACTAAAAATAAGGTCAGGAAAAAATAAAAGTGATTAAGTATCTTCGAAACTTTCTAAGCAGCATTTTGTTGATTAGCTAATCACGTAAATTTGTCCCCAATTAAGCTTTTACCGAGATCCCAATGGTCTGGGACAAATATTGAAACACCAGGTACAATATACAAGTTTGAAATAATGTGTTTCAAAAAACATTTGGATTTAGGTATAAACGATATACATGAAATTTATTTAAAATCTGGCATAGAATAAAAAAATCGAATAATATACATAACATAAGCTAGTTGATATCTACTTCCGGTACAAGCGGGAGGACCACCATTTTGAAAATATTTTAGCCAAATTTCTCCTATCAATCATACTATAGCCCCATTTTTTTTTCATGATTGTCTAATGCCAATTTTTCGAGTAATACATCGCTGCGGTTATACGTGAGACACCCTATACACTCTCAGGATTGAAGGTTGCCGTATATAATGTCGAAACCATAATCCGTAAAAGAGCAATACACTTTGGCTTTCCTCCAGAAACGTTTGAGTATGACTTACGATCCTTTCATTCTTGCTTCTACAAATTGAAGAGATAATGTATTGGATTATGAATTATCAAAGCATCAGAAGTGAGGACATTCTAACGCGTTTGTTTGCGGACGTCCATTAATTAGGCGATTATGACCCTCCTCTCTTTAACTGGTGAGACGCCAAAGAATTTGGTTCCCCATCCCAAATCACACGTGAGATTTTTCAAAATTTATATTTTTAGCATAAATGCTCTGGATTTATTTAAAAAAATAGAATTTGCTTCACTATCCTAGACATACACAAACTAATAGTAAATGTAAACATCAAATGATTCGTTGATTAGTTGTACCATTATTTGTGTTTTAATTCTATGCACAATTGCAATATTAATGGTCCACGTACAGGCAGTGTTTCGTACACGACCCTTATTTATATTTATTTACTAATTTTTCATATTATGTTTAAGGAGTAAATAATATTATTAACCTTATTTGAGAATAGTTAAGACTATATAGCTTAGATCGCACGAGTGATGACTTTCACAATTGTACACTGTTTTATGAGGAAAAAATCTGATATGTGCCGGCGTGAGATTCACTGTCTTTACTTTTGCTAATTTTGTCTCGGAATTTTTTATTCATCTATTTGGCTAAACACCTTTCAAAAACAAATCACTTTATTATGAAGATTTGTAATACTGTAAAACGACTTTAGATATTTTAATGAAATCTGGCGTTTATGTACTCATGTATCAAGAAGCATTTTTTTTTAATTTCCACCAGTGATGTTCGTTCAGAATTTCCCCTGCCTATTGTGGTACACATATTTAAGGAAAATTTGATGGTTGGAGATTTTAATCCAATGTACGGTTTTGATTAAAAACATAAAAACAGTTTCTCTGCATGATCATAACAACATTTATGAAGTCAGTGGCGTGCCAAATGATTTATTTTTGAAAACTTGTAACACCCTGTATCAAAAGTTGAGAGGTTTAGGCTATATGTTCATATGAAGTCTTCTTCTTAAAATGGACCCAAAAATCGACCCATTAAATATTGTCGTCCAGTTAGGGAACACTTGTATATCGCGACTTTAATGTTCTATGGTAACAGGCTATTTAACACGCTTTTTTATAATACGGCTTGAAACAAACTACCGTATCTTCCAAATGCCTGTAATGATAAATTTTAATATCTGTCTTTCATTCTCAAGTATTTCGTCGTAAAAATGGTTACAGCGCCCCTCTCGAAATTCTGTATACTTGCTAAAACTCCTCAATCCTCATTACATAGCGAAAATAGCCTCATCTCATTATTGTTCCGCCTCAGCTTTCGAGAATTTCGATTACAACTTCTCTCAATCCCCGAAATCGTGGTTAAATAACGTCTGGAGATTAACAAATCTCCCACTTTTATCGAAAGCCCCTACTTCAATCTACACAAAGGATCTAATTGATTGTGTATCCCTTCTACAGCCATTAATTTTCTATCAAACCCTCTTCAACCCAAACGACAGCATCTGGAGATATGGAACGGGAATAATGCTGGATGTCCTTATCCTCGAGGATGCTAAAAAAAATTCCCTGGATGAAAAAATCTCAGCATGGCTGTCAAGGAGATTGTTATTTTGGATGATCCATGAGTCCTGCTCAAGTCCAATATTACAGCAATGCTAATGATTTTTATAGCACAGGCATATATTGCTGCTTGAGAATCCCTCCTCAACCCAAACGTCAGCATGTCTAGACATGGCACAAGAATAATGCTGGATGTCCTTATCCTCGAAGATGATAAAAAATATTCCCTGATGGAACAAAATCTCGATCTGGCTGTCGAGGAGATTATTCTGGCTGATCTATGAGTTCTTGATGCCAATGCTAATAAATCTTATAGAACAAGTATTCCCATATTGCTGCGCGAGAATCCCTCTCCAATGCAAAAGTCAGCATCTCTAGACATGGCACAAGAAGCATACTGGATGTCCTTATCCTCGAGGATGCTAACAAATATTCCCTAAATGAAAAAATATCAGCATGGCCGATGACCGAACATAGGGATGATTCTAAACCAGAAGTTAGACACCATTTGCAAACTGTGGTGGCGAAATTTTGATGCAGTCTTACACATGGTGATAATCTTATATATGAAAGATAACTGATTTTAATAAAAAAGAGGCGTCAACTAGGTTGACTGCGCTTCCCAGTTCATAACGGATCATGTTCGGTACCAGATAGGTCCCTCTAAGTAAAAAGTTAGGTACGAATATGTATAACAAAAAACTTGGATGAAGCATGTCGGTCAAATAGGCACATAGAATTAGTCCATAGTCTCCACCTATTTGACAACGTTGCGATTTTTTCCTACCCTACCGAAGGTATCAACCATCTGGAAACATTGCGTTATCATTGTGTAGGTGTTTTATCTATACCCTATAATGTATATTATTTCATTTTTACACTTCTGTATATGTATTTTATCTATGACTTTGCGATTCTATATTTCATTTATTTTGATTTCTGCTTGTCTATGATTTCAATTGTCTAATTGCGTCATATTCATACATGTTCATATTTTCTTCAATAAAATTCTTTGATGGAAAATAAATGTATGTATGTATGCTCGTATTCTAATATTTAAGGACAAATATACAGGGAAATCTATGATGTGTGAAATACCTCTGATAGGTACAAATAATTAATAGGGTTAGATGCGTATAAAAATATTGCACTAGCACCAAAAAATTGAGATCCCCTACCCCCTGTAACCGCCAATTGTTATATACTAAAAAATAAAACAAAAGATGAACCCTTGAAACGTTAAAAAAAGTGTGAGCGGTTCTTTTTGTTTCGTTTTCTGTAACACCGCCGCCACTGGATCGATTTTCAAAATTCATTTCATCCGCATTTTTCAGCTTACAGAGGGGTCAAAGATTAGCGAACAGACATACTGACCGACAGACAGACAGTCCGACAGACAGACAGTCCGACCGACAGACAGACGCTTCAGTACGCATAGCCTGACCGGTTCGCCAGGCGGTCGGCTTAGACAGGCAGGAATACGCAGATCTAAAACATTTCTATCATTCCAAGTTTTAAAGGCAACTGTACGGGTGAATCTATGAAGAGTGAAATATGGCTAATATGGTGCATAAAATAACCGATGTTGAAAGCGTATCCATATCATGTATCCCTTCCCCACACCCTACAACCCCCAATTTTCAACCCTAAAAAAAATTGTTTGAGCGATTTTTATTTGTTCCGTTTTTGTCGCCACTGGACCGGTTTTTTAAAAATTACAAAGCTTTTGCGTCCTTGGTACAATAGTAACACTGTGTAAAATTTTTATCGAAATCCGAGCGATACTTCTCAAATTATAACGGAAAGACCGACGGACAGAGACCGACGGAAATGAGTATCATCGTTTTTCGTGATTACAATACTTCCCCAACGACTGTTGTGAAGGTCCTTTAAAAATTTTCAATTAATCTTCGTTTGGACGACGGTAGAAGAAATATGGTATTGACTATAATTTTCATCTCCAATTCCAAAAGTGATCCATGACCATGCATGCAGTCTATTTAGGCGACAATTATTAGACTGAACCTTTGCTTAGTAACCTATAATATTTTATCTAATCATAATAAAAGTAATTATTGCAAATCAAAATGGGCAAGGTAAGATATTATCTTGTTTCCCGGATATTTATTCTTACTGGACGTGTTTTTATTACCGTACCTCATAAAACATATTTATTAGGATTTATCGCTGACAGTAAACTACCAATCTGTGACTTTTATATTGATTGATAAAAACAATGTGTATTTCCGATCGCATGTTTCAAGTGATCATCAAATAAAGTATGTTACCTAAGTCTTACCCAGCACGATCTATGTTATAGTATGCGAAATTTAAAAAGCCGAAGCCCATAGAAATCAAGTTAGAGCTAAAAGATAACCAAATTTTCTAGATATGATCTTACAGCTAAGAATTCAAAATTTTCTTTAGCTATGGTTGTTTCAACGTTGACATTAATGCCTGTACTGGGTGCGCCATCTATTACTTTTTTTACCTATAAGTTTATGTGTTACCATGTGAGTCAAAAGTCTCGTGGTATGCATGAATTAACTGTCAAAGGTATGCCATTTATAGTCATTTTGGTTATCCAAAGTTATTACGAAAACGGTCGAAATATAAAAAATACTTTCCGCAAACTTCACACTAGTTTTGGCCGCCATGGACGCCCTACAGAGCCCGGAATTCGTTGGACTGATAATAGTTTTGAGAAAACTGGTTCAGCTGAAAGTCGTAGACCATACCAACATGCTCGTCCAGCTCGTACTCGTGAAAACGTAGCCACAGTGAGTGAAAGTGTGCGAGAAGATCCAACCACCTCGACTAGGCACCGTTCGCAACAATTGGGAATTAGTGAGACCACATTACGCCGGATTTTACACATTGATTTACACCTCCATCCATACAAAATCCAACTAAAACAAGAACTGAAGCCGGCAGACCATCAACAGCGGCGTGTTTTTGTTAATTGGATGCTGAAAGAGCAGACGGATTTTCGACCAGTGCTCTTTTCTGACGAGGCTTTCACTTCAATGGGTACGTAAATAAGCAAAATTGCAGATTCTGGGGGACTGAAAATCCACACCAATATCATGAACAACCTCTCCATCCTGAAAAAGTGACTGTTTGGTGCGGATTATGGCATCGTTGGACGATTCTTCTTTCTTTGAAGAAAAGGCCATTACCGTCAACGGGGAACGTTATCGCGGCATGTTAACAGACTTTTTGTGGCCACAATTGGATCCTATTGGTGCCGACGATCTTTGGTTCCGTCAAGACGGAGCAACGGCTCACACATCTCGCCAAACAATCGCCTTATTTTTTAAAGGAAAAGTGTATGCGAATGGTCCCCGGACAATTCAAGACCTAAAGCGCAATGTTCGAACTGAAATTGCGGCCATAAACCCGATTATTCTAGGAAACGTGATTGAAAATTTTGATGTTCGGATGTTGGCCTGTAAACGAAGCCACGATGGTCACATGACTGATGTTATTTTCATACATAAATGGCATAAACGAACCTTTATTTATCAATAAAAAAATTCGATTTCACCTCGTAAAAAGCGTGTTGACTTTTCAAATAGAAAAAAAGTAATACATAACGCACCCTGTATACAGGGTTATCCAAATTAAGTGTCCACCATTAGTAACTTTGTTATTAGTGAAAATACAAAGTTGTTTGAATTAGCAAACTAGTAGCATTTTTAACGCTGGTAAAAATGAGAAATAAAAAAAAACAATTGAGAGTCGTTATTTTGATTTTTTTCAGTAAAATAACATTTTTTTAAATGGAAACCCCTGTATATTATATTTTTTTCTGTTAAAGCATCAAATTTTAAACAAAAAAGCTTACAATAACTTTTCTCCTAGGTTACAAATTGTTGAAGTTATGGCCTCCAATCTGAAACAATTAAATTGTATCGACAAACTTTATTTTCAACATCAACTTATAATCTTACAAAATACAATAACAATTTTTTTTAAAGAAGATGCTCGAAAACACCACCTTGTTCTTCAATACATTTTTGGGCACGTTTTTCAACTGCTCGAACTGTCTTAAGTATGGTCCTACCATCTATCTGGGTTATCTTTTCCCTAACTGCAGTCTTTAACGCGTCAAGGTTATCGTACCTTCGCTTGTAAATTTGGTTCTTTAAGTAACCCCACAAGAAGTAATCAAGTGGGTTTAGATCTGGTGATCTGGGAGGCCACTGTATTGGGCCATTTGTTCCTATCCACTGATCATTAAAAGTAGTACTTAGAAAATGATAAGTACCTCTGGAGTTGTGGGCAGGTGCGCCATCTTGCTGAAAATGCAGATGATGTCTACTTATAAGATCCAATTCGTCTAAGAAATTAGTCAGAATTTCTGACATAAATTCCACATATCTTTCACCAGTTAGGGTTCCCTCATAAAAGAACGGGCCAACAATTTTTGAACCAATTATACCGCACCAAACGTTGAAACTGAAACGGACTTGTGGGCCTCTTGGATGTACTAACAAAAGATTTTCTCTTGACCAATAATGGTGGTTTTTTCTATTAAACATTCCAGAATTTGAAAAATTTGATTCATCTGTCCATAAAAGGTAACGAAAGTTATTTACATTTTGGCGACAGAAGCTAAGATACCAATGGCAAAAAACAAGTCTTCTCTCTGGATCCCCTGCCAAAAGCGTTTGAACTGGTCGGTATTTATACGGAATAAATTTGTATTTTTTTAAAATCCTTTGAACAGTACCATAACTGAAATTAGAGTCCTTGAGAATATCTGCTATTGAATTCTCACGATAAGCTTCAAAATATCCAATAACTGCAATTTCCGTGGCCTCGCTTATTATGAATTCTTTTTTTGCCCTTGTTTTAGCAAAAACATTTTCGTTGCCCCTAAATTTTCGATAAAGTCTCAGAAAATATCGTTCATACGGTTGAATGCGAGCGGGATATAATTCACTGTAGTATTCTCTTGCTCTCAAGGAGGATTTTCTGCACACTAAATAGCATTCTAACATATCACACTTTTCTTCATGGGAGAACATTTTTCTTTAAATTAATGACACAATAAAGCTTATAAACAAGTATTTACACTAATGTTTGACATTATTTGATTTTATCATTGTTTTCCAAAGCCTTCTAGTTGCGAGTATGTCCAGTTTAACAATTTGTCGCTTATCTTAATGCTGTCAAATCGCGAACGCCATGTTGTTTTCATAGCCGTCTTAATATTATAATACTGCAAATAATTAAAAATATTTATCGTTATTTTGACTTTATTTTTGACTTTAGCGGAAAAGTCATTATGAACTTTTTTGTTTAAAATTTGATGCTTTTAACAGAAAAAAATATAATATACAGGGGTTTCCATTTAAAAAAATGTTATTTTACTGAAAAAAATCAAAATAACGACTCTCAATTGTTTTTTTTTATTTCTCATTTTTACCAGCGTTAAAAATGCTACTAGTTTGCTAATTTAAACAACTTTGTATTTTTACTAATAACAAAGTTACCAATGGTGGACACTTAATTTGGATAACCCTGTAT